TTCTTTCATTGCAACGTTGCCAAATATTACGACGTCTAATAGGCTAAATTATGCCATGTAATTTACAGCTAATAAATCCAAAATTAGAAACAAATCTATTATTCTATTTTATTATTTGATCTTTCGACCGACAACTAACCTAAAAAAGCATAAAGATAAATAAAATATAATACCTTAAGGTGGGGTTAGTTGCAACATTTTCAAAATTCTTTTGCCGATACCTTCTTTATTTTTTTGTCGAATTTGACCTAATTGGTGCCAAAATTTTAGTCTTGTGGTCTAGTATCCGATTCCAACAAAAAACTTTGAACAACATTATTATTTGATATATATTTTTAAAAAAAACTGGGTGTTGCAAGTTGAACGCCTGCAAGGGGATACTTGCAACAAGTGGCTTTTTTCAGTAGTAATTGTATTTAGGAACGCGTGTTAACTTACTTGCAGCACAAAATATTTAAAAAAAATAAATTTGGCTAATTTTGGCCAATTTTGGTCAATTTTTCCTCCTCTTCCTTTGGAAATACAGGCTGCCTACCAGGATCAAGGGGAAACATTGGAAACAAGTTTCTTCTTTTCCGAGAAAGCGTTGATGGGTCAATCCCGAATTCTCGCGATGCTTCCCGAATCCCTGATCCATTTTCGATGGCCCTTAATACATTTTCCAAAGTTTCGTTGGAATAATTTATTTATTTAAAACTCGTACAAACACTATAAATAGTAATTACATGTAGGAGTGCTTACTGGGTATGAGAGAGAAAAAACAACAAAATTAAAAATACTAACAACTTACACACTAAAAATAACATAATAATACTAAACACAGAATGACATAATCACAGACATATTTAGAACATATATATAGGTACGAACTATCCACCTTAAGTTATAGATATTTGGGTTACGCCTGAATATAGTTTTCTACGGTAGGGTGACCATACGTACAGCATTTCGCTGTATTGTACAGCATTTTGAAAGTCTGTCCAGCATTTGATTTTGTACAGCAAACGTACGGATCATAAATAAGTTTTTCTTAAAAGTTGTACGAAACATTGTCCGTCGATAACTAACGCCATATCTTTAGTTTTTTTTTGCAAATGCATTTTCTTGTTACATTTTTTGTGTTTTGGGCGGGTTTATTCACCTTCTGTTAAACTGTCAGGCATGCAATCTGATGGATAAAAACGCAATCTGTAATCTCAATGGTCAGCTAGTTATCCACCGACCAATAGAATTATAGAACGGTAAATTTATTCTTTATAGTTACCAGTAAGTTTATCTGAAGATTAATCGACTGGGCCTAAATGTCTAATAAATGAGAATTTTTATTTTTGTTTGGGAGTTGCCTATTATCCAATTTTTTTTTTCCAAAAAAATAGTACTAATAAAGTTTAATATAAAGAACTAAAACGAGCTATAAAGTCGACAAAATTTGCACCAAAAAACTTTTTTTGGGCGTGGCATCGTTTTTTTTTGCATTTGGTGCTTTTTTCACTCTCCTGTGCCAAAATTTTAGATGTGTACAGCATTCATACAAAAAAAATATGGTCACCCTATTCTACGGTGAGAATTGTATTTTTTATGTTTCTAGGATTATCATTAAAAAAAAATCTATATTACTTTCCTGTATCAAGACATTACATTCATGTAGCATTCTGTTTACAGGCGAACAGCTTAATGGTGCATGAAGGAACAGTTGTGTATTTCTTATTCTTAAATTGATCTTAGGAACCAAAAACCCTACCTTATTAATAAAGGAAGCATTTTTATATTTGGTATTGTTAACTATACAATAAATAAACATTATATCATTAATCATACGTCTTTTACTTAACTTAACCAAGCCAAACTCCTCTAACATGCTGTTATATGAGATTCTAAAGGGGTATATATTGTGTTTCCTAACATACAAATATCTCAGAAATCTTTTTTGCACTTTTTCAATCATATTATTGTGAGTTTCTGTTTGAGGCGACCAAATGACGGATGCATATTCCAAGTGTGGCCGAACCAGAGCATTATACAGATAAATAATTGATTTAATGTTTTTAAAGTAGGTACTTGGTATTCCTAATTATAAAGCCTAACAGTTTATATGCCCTATTTGTAATGTTTTCGTAGTGTTGGTTATATTTTAAGTTTGCCTGTAATTGTACTCCGAGATCCCTACATTCATCTTTTCTACTCAGCACCTGATTATTGAGAGAATAATCATGTCTAAGATAATTGAACCTGCGTGTAAAGGACATAGTTAGACATTTGTTTGTGTTTAAAGGCATTACGATAGGTCCTACTCCCTAACTGTTTTTTGTATTTGCGAGGCATATTGCAAGTTATCCACTTTTGTACATGCAATTTAAAAAAAAAATCTATTTACGAAAACCTTCAAACTTAACTCAAAACTAGATATTCAATGTTTTAGACTAAGCATTCAAGCACATCACATCCAAATTTGATACAAATCCTATTCCTAGGGTAAATAAGTTCTGCACAGGAGAAGTTATATTGCAACAATTTAGAGCACTTACCAGAGCTGTCAGAAAATGGCGCCAAATTTTTCGTGTTTAAAATTTTTCAACGCTAAACCTACTCAGATTTCAACCTACTGATCCGTACTAAACGATATTACGTTAGCGGTTGACGCGCGACTCAAGCGAGAGGAGAGGGAAAGCAAAAATTCCACCCGATGAATATTTGTTGCAAGTTATGCCACTGTTGCCTTACGGTAACCGAAATTTCTGTTGAAAGACTAATCTGGCAATGGTGTTGAACAATGAGCCGAACAGATCCGATTATTAGCGATTACTCTCTCCGACTCGCTGATGAAGATACGACACGATTTTCTAAGCGGGTGATTTAAATTGTTTTGTTTAACAGAAATTCGAACAGAATTAAAGTTAAATATACGAGGAATTAAATAATAAATAAGTGATCTGTTTGTATTTTACACTTTAAACATAAAACCAAAATGGTGGACGTAACTGTACGTAATATGGATGTTTGAAGATGTACCTACATAAGACGTACAAAAGTGTACGTACGTTCTGAATGTTCTCTCTCCATAGGTCATAAATATGGACGTAAACATGACATAAAATGAACGTCTTATGTATGTACTGTGTAGTGTGTTTGCTAGGACTCTTCAAAAAAAATATAAATATTTATAACTCACACTCACAAAAAAGTTGACATGGACATTGCACATAAACAGTATTATAAAAAAATGGCTCCTAGAAGCAATAAAAAGATGTAATCATAATATGCTACTTAAATAGAAACTCAAGATATCTCCCATATAACAACTTCATTGAGCTCCATCTTAGGTATTTGATACCATGTTGTGAAAATACAAATTCTGATTCCCTAAAGCCGGGAACACACTTTCGACACGGTACGTCACGTTACGAGCTGGCGCGTACCGTGACGTGTAATAGAAATTTGAGCTTAGGGCCGGTTTCTCAATAGCGAGTCACCCTCGGGTTGGTTTTAACTCTAGGGTTAACGTGTTAAATTGCAATGTTTACCCTGGAGTTAGCTTAACCCGGAGGTGACCTGCTATTGAGAGACCGGCCCTTAGAAACACACTCTTTGCTTACATAACACGCTTTATACCCTGTACCGACACTGACTAGGTTTTTTCCGGTAATTTTATCTTTGTTCGAGAAATAATTCCGTATATGTTAATAAATGGAATGTGCCAGCAGTGCTGATTCTTCCGATTGGCGATTGGGAAGAAGAACTAGAAGACGCAGCAGTATGTTTCCAAATATTAGAAAATAAAGCAACTCATAGGACATTATGGATAGATGAGTTTAACGAAAAAGAGAGAATCATTAGACCAATTTCATCGTCTTGTTCAAGAATTACAATTTCCATTTTTGTTTTTCATACCACAAACACTAACCAAACAAACATACACAATTTTGAACCAAAACCGCCGGCATACCCAGCACGCGTGTGAGGAAAGTGTGGATTTCCACAAATCAACGACAAGCGGAGACACGCGTGTTATGTGACGTCAACGTACCGTGTTGGCTATACCGTACGATGTAGCATGTGTGATGGAGATCCATTAAAAGACACGTAAAATTCAAGACCTCACTTTTAGTACAACACGCACCACGGGAACACACCACGGTACGTCACGTTTAATAATAGGTTGGTTCGGACTTAGTTCAGAATTAGTTCTGAATTGAACTGCGCTTGCGCATTTGTTCATATCGAACATAAATAAGCAAATGCGCATGCGCAGTTCAATTCAGAACTAAGTCCGAACAAACCTAATATATCAGGATCGACAGGTATCCTGACGCTCAGGTGACAGGTAGATGTAAATAATGCATATAAAATGTGTACATAAATTTGGTTAAATTTGACCGCGGTCAAAAATCCCATAAGAAGTGTGCGGGGTCCTTTGGTTGCACACAGGCACCCTAAGCTTAAGCAGCGCCCCTGATCTTCTACCCAGATTGGTCATTTGAAGGAACACCCTAGAATGATTTTTCTTTGTCTCTTCAGGTTCAGAATTCTTTTCGTTCAAAATACATACATATCCAAAATAGGCTCGACATCCGGATCCTTTATACAGTGTGCGCCATAAAGTTGGGTACATATGGGAAAATTCCTAATTATTCCTTTTTCCAAAAAACTTTTTTTGGGGATCGTTAGGGCATGTTCGATAACCAAAAAATCGATTATGACAGATGTTATGCGATCAACGATTTAGCGGGAATTTTGAAAAAAGTTGAATTGATGTCGAAAAACGGGTAAATTTGGCAAGATATCAAAAAGTTCCAAAGTAGACCGGAAATGCGTGTTAAAAAAAATAACTAAATTGTAGCCGAGATTGTAGCCAATAGTCATACAAGTCCTTTCGTAAGCGTATATTGGAAAGTGCAGGGAAAGTGAATTGAAATCTATCTATAACTATGCTAGCTGCATGAATGTACTTGGTACCAGTGCCATTGGGCGGCAGACAATAACCATTCCAAAACTTATAGTAAATTCTATATTTCCCAGTTTCTTTTTATAATATTTTGAAAATATCGAGGAAAATACACAAAAACAAACTATAATTATATTTCGCTCTCACATTTATTGCTTGAAACATTTTTTCTCAGCATCAGCAATAAGTATGTCAATGTCCGCTATTTCAAATACTTTTTTCTTTACATATTTGCTTGCCATTGAAGTTTTATCCTAAAAAAAATACGTCCAACTTTTTCCAAATAAAATATCACAGGAACAAACCCAAAACTGTAAATATTCAGGTGAAATACTTTCCAAGAGCATCAAATGGTCTTCCAGATTTTTCAATCGCTGATAAATATTTTTTGGTATAGCTTTCTCTAAACTCAATTGGGATTCTAAAATTTGCAATCTCTCCACTATACCATTAGGCGGAATGTATTTTTTCATGTAATCTGAATTTTTTTGGTCTCTGTGATAACTATTTAAAGCCCTTTCAACTATAAAAAACAAATAGTACATCTGAATTTAAAAATAACAATAAAATTACCTTGCAAATGACTTTTTGCACCCTTCCTTTTACACACAGTAGCATCAATTCTGGCACAAACAGACTCTAGGTCTCTATGTTTTGTAAAAAATTCTGTATTATTAGACATATTTATTTCATCTCTCTTTCTGTCCATAAACTTTTCTATTCGGGCATCCAATGCATCGTTTGAAGCCTTAATTTGTATCAGATGGGACGGTATGTAGTTTGTGGACACTTCTTGTTCAAAAATATCAAAATTTATTTTCTTTCGTTTCGGTGGATAATGGTCTAGGGGAGCTAAAAATAAAACAAAAGAATAATAACTTAGAGTACAATTTCCAAAAAAGACAACAAAAAATACATATAACAATTTGAGATAATATCACAAAGTATTTTTTCATGGTCATATTATTAATGTGCTGTTGTTAATAATAATACAGTAGACTCGCGCTGGTGTGAACACACGCTTCTGTGAACCTACCAGGGCCTGTATTCTCGTCGCCGGGGAACAGCGTTCTCTCAAGAGAACGATTGCTCTCTCTTACTCACCCATATTGTTATTTCCATAATACTGACAAAGACAGAGCAATCGTTCTCTTAAGAGAACGCTATTCCCCGGTTACGAGAATACGGGCCCAGTAGTATGTACAGCCAGAATGAATACATTATGTAGTATGAACAATGTATTTGACCACCAATTTAAACATTTTCTGCCTACTTGTTGTTTTCATCGGTTGTTTCCATCCATTTTTGGGGTTCCCCGAATGTTTCGAGACAAGGAATGCACAGATAAATCTTGAGTTATTGCATTCACTCTAATGTGGAATACACAAGTAGCAGCGCATCAAGAGCGCGTTCAAAAGTCTATAAGTTTTTAGTTCATTGTTTGTTGTGGTTAATCAGTTTTATGAAAATGGCGGAAAACACAATTTTTTTAAACTTTCTATGGTTTGTTCTCGCAAGAGTCTCTGACAATTTGCGAGCTGTCAGAATACATCGCCCATGCATGTTTTCAATGCAGTCGTTCTAAGATAATTCACTAACTTAGCTGAGTGATTCTTACTGATAGTTTGCAAACTGTCAGGGACTTTTGTGGGAACAGACCTTATGAGAAGTCAAAAATTCTAGAAAATTACCAACAAGGCAAGAGCATATATTGGCATTGATGACACAGAAAGCCCAAGAAACTTTCAAGACAAAGTAGGTAGCCATCCAATGGTCAGCTAGAACCATTCAGATAGAAATTAATCCCACTAATCAATGAACTGGGAAAATTTACTGACCTTGCGTTCGGTATTTTGCTCAAAGTGTAGAGCGAGCTGAGCGGAGCCGTAATCACGTGACCAGCGAGCGAACGGAGCAGTTGAACGCTGTATAAAAGTACCGGAAATTTTAATAAATGAACGCGAATGAGGCTGCACCGAGTACACTTTTTAAATAAACGAACGGTAAAGTCAAGCTCGGAGAACTCAGACCAAAATAACGAATGCACGGTATATATGTATGTTTGCAAGTACCTATTGTATTAATTTTTCTTGAATTTTAAGTTTAGAGACCATTGCTGACAAGTATTTTGCATTTTTAGATAGACCTTGGATAGTGTGAACGCCTCGATAATATGAACATGTCCGATTTTTTTGTGTTCTCACTAGCGCGAGTCTACTGTAATTATAAAATATTCGATTACATTTTGGTTAATGAACTATTAGGATTACTACGTTAATACTAAATTTGTTAAGCTTCCAAATAATTACTTGACCACTGACATTCTTTGTTTTCTTTCCAAATTGAATCCTCGTCAGAATAAACTTCTTTTTTCCATATTGGAACGGATTGTTTCAAACTGTTTATACAAAAATCTGTGGCTTTCAAGGCATCATCTCTGTGGGGCGAGGAAATGGCAATTACCACACTGGCTTCTTTAACAGCAACTTGGCCTAATCTGAAAAAGTGAATATGTATAGGTTATGCCAAGTAGGTAAATGCAAAAATAAGAATCTCACCTATGAAAAATAGCAATATTCTCAACTCCACTCCACTGTTTTCTGATATCTAAACAGATTTTCTCCATCGCTTTGAGGCCCATGGATTCATAAGCTTTGTATTGAAGATTAGCAACTGATTTCCCATCAAAATTATCCCTTGTTGTTTCTATAAAAAGCGAAATGGCTCCACAGGAGGCTGCTGCGACTAGATCCGATATTTCTTGGATATTTAGGGGCTCGGTTTTAAAAGCTAAATGGTTAGACATGTTTCTGGTTTAGCCTCCACTTAATGGTTGTATAACAGCTACTTCGTCGTCGTCTTTCAAGCTGAGAAAATCTTCTGTGTGGCAAATTTGTTCGTTAACAGCCAGCAATATGTTGTTTTCGATTTTTTCCAATGCAAATTGCTTTATTACGATTTTTAATAAGTCGCAATAAGTAATTGATTGGGGTACGAGCAAAACGTCGGTCGATTTTCTTGCTGAATCCTTGGCTTGGGCGAAAAGTAACAGTTTCACTTTAACTACCATAATTTTGCGTTACGTAAAATTACTTTGCAGATTTGGCAACATTATTTATAATTTCAAAAAAAAATTATCCACTAATTATGTTTTTCTTAGTGTAGTGTTGTGGCATAAAAGATCATCTCAATAAAAACACAGTTTATAAAAAATAATAAATAAGCCTGGAATGCAAAATAAAATAATTGGTTAGGTTATGTTGTCAAATTACTGTATTTCTTTTATACATCGAGTTACACCGAATGAGCTCCTCGGAGTCCTCGGAGTCACTCCAAAATATACAATCAAGATCGAACTTCACTTAGTAAGTTCGTTTGATCTTGTTATTATATTTCAGCCTCGTCTCATCCATCAGTGTTGCCAGAGGTGGTACAATTGTACCAAATTTGGTACCATTCGCTTTGTAAAAGTACGCTGGTACGACGTTGGCATATTTGGTACAATTTTCCATTTTTTTTTTTTCCAAATTCTCAAAGAGTCTAATGGGTAGTTGCACCAACACTTTCTGATCTTGGTTTAACAGTAATCTTGGTTTAAACCAAAGAAATCCATTGCACCGTTTCTTGAACAAAGTTTAATTTGATTTGAACTTGGTTCAACTTAAACGGTCATTTTTGATGGTTTAAAGAGAAGTTTTACTAATTGAATGCGCAGAAAGGAAATTCGCAAAGTGTAATGACATGCCGACTGTCGTTGTTTACGGAATATGTTCATGTGTTGTGAGAATTTCATTATTTATTAATATGTATTTGATTTTTAAATCCAATAATCAATCTCGATCGAAATTTATGTGCAAAATAAAATATGTCGATGAAACAAATATCCCGTCCTTCAGAGGCGCGGTTACGAGCAATGAAAAACAAAACACTTGGAAGAAAATAATACGTACAGAAGTATATAACAGGGTGGGGCCTTCTTGTCCAAGAGCTGTAGAATGTTTAAAACGTTGCTAAATAGGAAAATAGAAAAAACTATTGAGAAAATCAGTCTCTTTTTTACTTGGTGCTAGACAGTGGATCCATTTTGTCAAATAAAGCAAAGTAGCAGAGAGAAACTACAAAATACAAAGGGGCCACTGCTTCACTTCGGAAAGGCTCACAAAAAATAATTCGCTTTCTAGGACAGGTTATATTTTCTATTTTTGCTTTCACATTTGACAAATTTTCAACACGTTTGCCAACCTAAACGAAAATAATCCTATAAATTACTAGTTTAATCAAACCGAGCTTAGTTGTGTGTCGTGCAATGACAGGTCAAATGATCGGGGTTTATTTTTGAATCTCAGTTTTATTAAACTTGGATTAACAGAATTTTGGTGCAACTAGCCATAAGGCGATTTTCAGCCTGGAATGATTATTATTTGGTTATAACCAATGCATTTCCGCCGTCGCGGTTTTAACCAAAGTAGGGGAAGTTGTGATGTCACATATCAGCTGATTTGCTTTTGGTATTTACCACTTATAACCGATTATATTATAACCCAGCTTTGGACTTGGGTTAATCTTTTGGTTACAGCTTTTTGATGTTATTGTTATTATTTTTGGAATTTGTATTGGTGTTTTGTGATTTTGCAGTTGCGTTGTAGCCTGGCACAATGGAAGAATAAGTATACATTCACTCACTCACTGCAATTCACCATGTTTAGATCGAGGTTTAGATCATCCCCAAAGAAAATCTGTTCGATAAACGAGAGTAACGAGAGATTCAGCTCCATTTATTGTACCTAAACAAAAAACTATTGTTGAAATGAAAAAACAAATAAGAATAATAAACATAATCCTACACTGCTATAACCAAATCATTTCAGCGGTCAGTTCCTTGGGTTATGATTCTTGAATGGTGGGGGGCTATGACGTTACCCTTGGCTGTCAAAGTTGTCAACCAAAAGAATAACCACGGTATTTACCGATAAATAATCATTCCAGGCTGAAAATCGCCTTTAGCCTACTGCCTACAGTCTAATGTCGATGTTCGAATTAATTTGTATTTCTGTATCTAAATTCGATATAACAATAATTTCTGATTCGTGCTTTCTCCACTCACCTTTCCCAACATTTTAGATGTGTACAGCATTCGTACAAAAAAAGTAGTGATGAGCGATATATCACGAACTGTGATTTAATCACTGATATCTAAAAATCACGGATCACGACCGCTACCAAAGTTCTATAAAAAGCGTGACGTGATCACGACAACGTAGCAAACTATTTAATTTCTTGTCTAAGAGTATCTAACCTTATCCACATAAACCAGCGCTGTGTGGGCGGGCCTTTAGTTCCGGCTAAGGAGGCCCTTACCAGTTTAACGGTACTTTTGTTATCAATTTTTTAAATATTTAAGTGGGTATTACTTTATCAAATATTTGCTTTGTTTGGTTTTCATCGTAATTTGATAATTTTGCGTTTTAAATGGCATCCTACTTTATCTCACCCATTTGGGGTTTTTGCAAACGTGTACTACTTTATTGTTGTCTCTGTCTTACTCACATATAATTAACGATTAAACATTTTTTCTTTAAAATTAAATTAGTAACAAGTTTCCAAAACCTTATTTGGGAAATTTATTGTTTTATAATCGTTATTATTTAATTATTCAACAGGTTTTAATTAAATTAAACCATTTAAAATGTCATTAATGTCATGCGGGAACGTCGCTTTTAATCGGCCATTTTGCAGTGACGTGTTTACGTTTTTATCCAGTTTTTCCTTGGATTTTCCAGGGCGTTCTAAGTCGGAAAAATTGGTTCAAAGTATACGAGGCTTTGAGTTTTTTTCATTTTGTGCAAAAAATTTCCAGTTTTCCAATAGGGTAAGTGACAAAAACTCAAGTCTCATCAAGTAGGTGCTGGAATGTTCTTTTTAGAGATTTTTCTTCGGATTTTCCGCTTTTCCAAAGCTTCTTCAATTAGGAAACCCGATTTTAAATATCAGGCTTTAAGTTTTTTCCATTTTGTACCAAAAATTGTCAGTTTTCCAATGGGGTAAGTGACTAAAACTTAAGTTTCATCAAGTAGGCTCTGGAATGTCCTTTTCAGAGGTTTTTCTTTGAATTTTCCGCTTTTCCAGGGCTTTTTCGGTCGGGAAAACCGATTTTAAGTACGAGGCTTTGAGTTTTCTTCATTTTCTAGCACAAATTTATATTTTTAAATGCAATAATTAGGATAATCTCATTTAAATGCTTTTTCTGGAAGTTTTGATGTGGCAACATCGTTTGTAGCCAACTTTAATCATGTAAATCTTGTAATAAATATCATTTGTCAATTTGGAAAGTCGACCATTTTGAATGTTTTTATCCATATTTTTCCTCGAAATTCCCGCTTTTCCAGGCCGTTTTAAAACGGAAAAAATGGTTCAAAGTACGAGGCTTTGACTTTCCTTCATTTTGTGCCAAAAATTTTCAGTTTTCCAATAGGGTAAGTAACAAAAACTCAAATTTCATCAAGTAGGCTTTAGAATGTCCTTTTCAAAGGACTTTCTTTGGATTTTCTGCTTTTCCAGGGCTTTTTGGATCGGGAAAACCGATTTTAAGTACGAGGCTTTGAGTTTTCTTCATTTTGTGCCAAAAATTTCCAGTTTTCTAATGGGGTAAGTGACAAAAACTCAAGTTTCATCAAGTAGGCTTTGGAATGTCCTTTTCAGAGGTTTTTCTTTGGATTTTCCGCTTTTCCAGGCCGGGAAAACCGATTTAAAGTACGAGGCTTTGAATTTCCTTCATTTTCAGCCAAAAATTTTCAGTTTTAAATTAAAATTAAGAACGCAAAAAAAAAATAATTAGTAAAAAACAACTTTTTAGGGAATTTATATATACTTATATATATTTTTTCAGGTGGCAACACTGTTTTGTAGCCAACTTTACTCGGGTTCCAATCCAGTAGGTCTTGGAATGTTATATCTAAAGTGACATTTGAGAAAAAAGTATGGTCACCCCCACCCTATTATAGGCTGGTACATTTTTACTGAATTTGGTAAAATTTGTCTTTAATTTTGATACAAAAAATTTTTGCTCTCTGGCAACACTGCGTCTCATAAATAATAAAGAAACTGTAGATGTTTAGAGCTTAAGTAACAAATTTTTTATTTCCTATTTAATTAAATGTAAGGAAAAGTGACATGTCAACATCTATTTCTACAAACTAAGATAAATCAATTGTATATGAAATAACACGTAAATTATAAACTAATGTGAAACAATAACTTGATAAATCATTAATTTTTCCCAATCCTAATGATTTTTATCAAAAGAACAGTCTTATCGTAATTAATTTTTCAAATTTTTAATATAACAAAAATGAGTATTATTATTGACTAATACCTAATATAACAGCCTTAGCAAAATTGCAGTCTTTAATGATAGGCCGGTTATAGAATTTCGCGAAAGTTTTGGACTTGTCTGTCCATCCTGCAGCCGTGCAGCCATTCGTAAAGTATCCCAACTAACTCCTTTTATGGCAGCCGTTGAAGTGGAGGCAATGGAGGCATGTCTTGTCGAATGTGCCGAGAAAATAGAAGTGTCCACGCCACTTTTATCAAGCACTGATTTTATCCAGCGGCTAATTGTTTGTGCCGTTGCATTATGATGCGGCTTTTTGTATGTGATTAGTAAGTTAGTTGAGTATTCATCACGTAATTTTTTTGTTACATCTAGGTATTCTAACAATGTAAATGCCACGCAAATTTTCCTATCTTGATGGAAATGGGAGTTTCAAAATTGGTTGTGGTTTATTTGGACCTGATGTTTTCAACCTTTTGGTAATTTTGATAATAATATCTTCAGGCTGTTTAATAATATTGGGTATTTCAATGTTGCCCAAGGTCTGGACTCGTTGGCCCGTAGTTAAAGCTAGTAACACTGAAAGCTTAAGAGTAAGGCTTTGCAGACTGATAAGTTCTGGAAGCGTCCGAATAAATTTCAACACAATAGACCTTTTCAAATTAGAAAAATTCTGTTGCGCATGCGCAAAACATTGTTGCCAAGTGTCGGCTTCTATCACGCATACAGGAAAGAATCATGAATAATTTCGATTTCATTAGAACTGAGATTCAAATTCTTTATTATCAATTAACCTTATATTATTGATGCAGTCAAAGACTCAAGCTATTTATTGAAAAGATATATTGATGGTAATTTTGTAAAGTTTTTTTTCAAACCTAACGCGCTTCAATTTCTACAAGCCGGCAACATCGCACAATTTCACTGTCATTTCTTCGATCAGCTGATTATTGTTTTGCGGTC